TTGATTATAAGCATTGACAAGATGTTCCAGTACAGTGATATACTTGTAAGTTTCATGATAAAACTGATTAGATGTTTCACTGACAAGATGTTTCAGTACAGTGATATACTTGTATAGGCACTGATTAGATGTTTCACTGACAAGATGTTTCAGTACAGTGATATACTTGTATAGGCACTGATTAGATGTTTCACTGACAAGATGTTTCAGTATATACAGTGATATACTTGTAAGTTCCATGATAAAACTGATTAGATGTTTCACTGACAAGATGTTTCAGTACAGTGATATACTTGTAAGTTTCATGACGAATGGAGTAGCACTGCATTCTATTTTAAGAGCGCAATTAAATATTTCTACTGTAGCCGCTTTTGTTTCGTTATATGTAGTAAATAAGTAAAGGTCTTGTTCCTTGAGATAGCATTGAAACAAGCGATTAGTAAATTATGTTCCAGCGTCAGTTTGAAGTTTACAAGGTTTTCGACTCTGTTTTAAAATCTGTTTGAAAGATTTTACAAGGGTTGCACCTCTTATCCTTTAGTGAAACAACACATGCATATTTAGAAAATACTTAAACTGATTGAAATAAATAAAAACTATATAACCCGAGCGCTTTCGAAAGGTGGACCTTTCTTCTTCGGGGGTAAACTGAGAATGGTGGTGTAATTGAATGAGTGATATATATAAAGGAAGTTTAGTGACGTCATTAAGGTCATCTGGTTTTCCAGGAAATATTTAGTCTATTTATCTATGTACTGTTATAAGCATCTCATTTCCGGTACAATGTAGGCGATGGCGAGAGCGTGTGTGAAAAGGTGTTAGGGATATTTTACTTTAGAAATGGATAAATATATGTATATTTAAAACTATACTTAAGTGTTTAAGTAAAATAAAGGTGACACCTGGAAACTGATTGAAAAATATATTTTACGTTAATCAATTTATAACAAAAAGTATGAAAAATTATCTTAAATAAATAGTCGGTTTTAGAAAATTCAGCATTCACACTACATGAAAAAAATATGCAAAGAATAAAAATTATTTTTCTCACAGAGATGAAACCAATGAACAGAGATCACTGATTCCAGGATCTAGATTAATTACCG